AAAAAAATGTAAGCTAAACTATTCAGTGTACTTTGTAAGCTGGGTGATTTGTATTCTGGCCAAACTTATTCCTTTTCTCCAGGCTGATGTCAAACCATTAGCCCTTCTATCTTTGGGTCACTCAGCACAACCCTGTTCTACAAGTCTACATTGGGAATGTAGGAGGCTCTTTTCTTTGTTTTGGACCACAGGTTCAGGTCTCTCATGGGCAATATGGCAGAATGCTAAGACAGAATAGGCTGATAACCCATTTCACATTCTCTGCACTCCAATCAAATGCAGTCATGGAGGATGGCCACAAGCTTGGCTTGGAGCACTGCTCCAGGCTGGTGACCCTGAGCCCGGAGATGCCGTTCTCATCACCTTGAACAGTGGCAGTGGTGGCAGTCAGTTCTCCAGGCCTGTCTCCAGGGGCCCTTTATCTTATCTCTTTGGTGTGTCACAGATTCTTTTGGTAGACAGTGACATGTATGAACTGTTTTTCAGAAGGATGTTTTTAATCTTATAAAATACAATCCATAACATTTCAAAGGAAACTAGACTAAGATACACTTATCAAAATGTTTTGATGGTTACATATGTACTTAACTGTTAACACATCAAACCATAAGATCCAGTGGCAGGTCTAAGAACTAGCATCATTTTGAAGAAGTGGTAGATATAAATGAAATGCTGACAGTAGCTCTAATGGGTTATGAAAATCTGTGTTTTCATAGACATGTAAAGAAATGCCAGATTTCAGTTAGAAGATAATGAAAATAAACATGCACTTTTTATTTATCCAAGTTCAAAGACCCCCTGCGCTGTCTAGCTAAGAACCTCTACCTTAGGAATACCAAACAAGGAGAGAGGGAGTTTTGAGCCTTTTTATATTTCTCCTGGAACAAATATCTCGGGCTTACAATAAAATCTTGTTTTAATTTCAGTACCTCATAAAATGCTATTATAATTTCTTTTTTGCTTTATTTGAAACAAGAAGGAGCGAGTCTTCCTCCTAATCTCTTCATGCAGACAGTCTTAGGTTTCATGAAGGACGCAAAGCTTCCTCAGGGAGAGGATTTTCATAAGATGCTTATTTCTGCCAGTGACTCAAATCCCGTACCATTTCAGGAAAAGCTCTTGCTTACAGAGATACTTAGAGCTACTGTGCTGGGAGGAGGAATATTTATTATATAAAG